GGGAGGCCCGGCGGGCGCCCTGGCTGGGTGCCCGTTCGTGGCCCAAGAAATGAAAGGGACGGAGAGGGACAGCGACCTGGACAGAGACCTGGGGCGCCTCGGGCCTGGACCTGAACTCCTGTAGCCTGGTTGGCAGTTGTTACCCGCAAGGGAACAAATCAACACAACCCCCACGCGTACACAAATAAACCCCAGCTCATGAGCGTGCAGACCTTTTTTTTTTTTTCTGATAACCTGACCCCAGAGGAGCCTTTTGTTTAGTTCCTGTAGATGAACCCCACCCAAAGGAAGCACTGAGTCTGTGCCCCCAAAGTTGCCTTGAAGATACGTTGGGAAATACAGATACCACTTTGTTAACCAAGATTTAATGCAGGTGTTTTCCCATCGCGGGCATTAAGAATTACTTAGATACAGTCCCTTGCACAAGTGCAGACTCCTCATCCTTGCCCTCCCAGAGAGGGTAGTTCTGAGGGCCCCGGTGTATTTTTAGGAAGCTGTATGTTTAAACTGTTGCTCCAGGTAATTCTGGTGTCAGTAGTCTAGGGGCCCCATTTTGGGCAACACTAAATATAAGTTGGCCGCTTCTCGTAAGGGTGTTCTTTGTGTGTGTTTGCTTCCTTCAGATGCACTGGTAGAGTGTGAGAAAAGCCTGAAGGTTCTCTCAGGTCATCATTTCAGACAGTGGTGCCATATTCCGATGCCAGCTGGGCTTGACTACCCCAGACCGTGGTCATGGCCTCCGTGTGTTATACTCCTTGCCTTTCGTTGCACCGATTCACGTCGCACTAAAACCCCTGCTCTTCTTTGTCTGTTCCAATCTTTCAAAACCTGAAACATCAGAATTTTACAGCTAGAAAAGACCTGACTAAGTATTCATCCCTGAATGATACCAGTGGGGTGAGCCACACTCCCATACGGTAGAGGTGGTATGTCTTCAAACTTGCAAGAGAGAAATTCGGACACAAAGGGAAGACGGTAAATTGATAGGCCTTCCTACTCCAAGGAAAGTCAAGTTGAAAATACAAAGAGTTCCCCAAAAGGTTTCTATAAACTCATGGATGAGAGATCCATCATGAGTTGCAAATGAAAGGGGAAGAATTTGAAGCCTAGGTCTGGCCTTAGAGGTTTATAGTCAAGAGACCGACAGCCTTGCCCTTTCAAGCGTGGCAACGTACCCAGAGAGTGGCGCTGGGACTGTGCTCCAGATGCTGCGTTTCTGTCTCAGGAGGGTCGTAATTACGTGGTGAGGCTGAGCAACCCAGCACAGGTGTTTTTTTTTGGCGGCTTCACGATTGCTTTGCTTTACCCTTTTTCTGTCTCTTTTTTTCATTTCCTTTTGTTAGGAAGGTTTGGTGGGCTTGGGTGCTACGGATTAATACAGCTGTTCCTGCCCCTCTCCTTTCTTATTTGAAACCCAATAGCCAATATCCTCTCAGTATCTTCTTATATGTCATAATAACAACAACTACCTACCGTTAGAGTGTTTTGTCATTTCCAAAGCACTTTCAGATAACATTATTTTCAGTTTATCTTTACAATAGGAGTATGAGATAGACCAGGTTGGAATCCTTTTCTTAAATCTCAGTGCTTCAGAGGTTGGGAAGAGGCAACTTCACTGTTACCTACTTCCCACATAATCTTTTGTTGAGACGAGCTTCTTCAAGGAATGGGGAGTTTTGATTAGGAGAGGAGGACATGAATACAGATTGTTTGGGAACTTAGTGTTTTTAGCAGTAGCCCTGTATGAGATGTACTCCCAGCGTTAAGTAGCTGGGGGCACCAGGAAAACCACTAAGAATCAAAAGAGGCTGAGAAATGAAACTAAGGACTTTTAAAACTAGCTGCCTGTATGCAGACATCTTTCTTTTCATCTAACAACCCACTACTACCAGCAGTTTGCTAGATTTTTATCTGGATGTTTACCCACTTTTTAAAAAAGATGTTTTTATTGGTTTTTAGAGAGAGAGGAAGGGAGAGAGAGAGTGAAACATCGACCAGCTGCCTCCTGTACATGCCCCCCACCAGGGATTGAGCCCACAACCCGGGCATGTGCCCTGACCAGGAATCGAACCAGCAACCTTTCAGTGCACAGGATGACACCGAACTAACTGAGCCACACCAGCCAGGGCTACCCACTTTTAAAAAATACTGTGTTTTTCCTAATGAGAAAATGAATTCTAGTTTCTAGACCACTAATTTTAAACTATTACCTTTTTTTTTTTAATTTAGGGAGTATTTGTACATGTTTAAGTCTGTGTTTTGCTAGTATTTGTCATAATCTAAATATAAGTTTGTATAATATTTTTTATTTGTTTTAAATACCCCATCCACCCATGTCCCCGTATTTATGAAGATCCTACTTCATTCTTCTTGGTCTTGGTAATTACCTTTTTCATCCCAATTACTCTCATAGAAGCTGGAATGCCTTCTCCAGAATGGACCAAGAGAAAAAAGCAGACTTTGAAAATTGGACATGGAGGGACTCTAGACAGCGCAGCCCGAGGAGTTCTGGGTAAGAGATGTGAATGGAAGTTTAATGTAACTCTCACTTAATAAGAAAGTAATATTGATTGAGAACAGATAAGAAAAAGCCATGCCATTTTCAGTCAACTTGGGCATATTTCTGATCTACTGGCATTTCCAGGTTCAGCTGAATTTCTGTCTCCCACATGTGAAGCCTGCCTACCTGCTTTTGTATGTTGCTAATGTAAAACTTCCTTCTCTCCTTTGCTTTTGTTAACTCACTGGGCTGAAAACAGGTCTTTTGATTCCTGTACCTACACAACAAGCACTGAATACAATTTTGATTGATTGGGGAAAATGTTGTGTAAAATTCTTGTCTTGTAAACTGTCCCTTGAATGAAAGCTGCATGGTTTTCTGGGTATCAGCTCCACATAATTTTTCTAGCTATACCACTTCTCTATTAGTCTTCCCAAAATTCTGCTGTTACTAACCACCGAACTCCAGTAAGCCTTGGTTTTCTTGGATACAGAATGAGAGGGTTAAGCTGGATAACTCTGAGATGCCTTCTTGTTTCACATTTTACTCTTCTGGATCACTGACCTAGTGGAGAAATCAGTTCAGCATTTCAGCCACGACAAAGCCCCACATGTCAGCCTGCCCTCAAGGCCCTCTGCACTCTGATGGGTAAACTCTGTGCCTGTCCTTGTATCCTCAGAGCACGCTCCTTTCTCCTCTGTGTTCAAGTCCTGTTCATCCTTTAAAGCCCAGTTCACATCGTTGGAAATGCTAGAATGAAGTGCCCTCTGGCCTCTAGCCGTTAACAGTGCTCCCTCCTCTACCTCCCACAGCAATTGTTCTTTCTGTCTTCACTTTGACACTGAATCATACACCATCATGTTGTCATTTAGTATCGTTCACTCATTAATTCAGGCAACATTTTTGGGGGAGCACTTGTCATTTTCCTTGTCTGCATTTTATTTTCCCTATAAGATTATAAGCTTTTTCGAAGTCAGAAAATGTGCTGTTCCTTTCAAAGTCATCTTGGGACTGTGTGCATAGTAACTGCTCGAGAAATATCGATTGGGGATTCTTAAATGGAGTAAAATTGCATCGAGTCTTTGTTGTTATTAGTATACAAAGTTTTTACCTCCATAGCAGCTACCATTTGAAGAGTACTGTGTTCCGCAGAGCATACCAGAGGCAGACAGTTGTTTATCTTAGTCCTTAAACTAACATGATTCTTACCATAGATGCTTAGAAGGGGTTGGGATTTGAGCTGGGTTTCAAAGGGTAGACTTTGAATACTTTGCAGAGGAGTTGATACTGTAGGTTTTGGGACCCCACTGAGGATTGTTGGAGGAGGGGCTTTGTAGTGTACAAGAATAAGTTTTCAGAAATTATATCAGTGGGTAAAACATAGGAAGGTCAGGTTTGCAGTGGTTTAGGCAGATTTCGGCTGATGGCAGGCAGAGGGAAGAAAGCCTGGATGCGTGAGGTGGTAGAGAGGGTGAAAAGGAACGGCTCTGCTCCTCCTAGTCTGGTCTGAATTTTAACTCCGTCTCATACGAGTTGTGAGATGCCGGGCAAAGTTCTTAGTCTGTGTTTCAACTTTCTTATGTATAAAACAGAGATAATTGTATTACCTTTTAGGGTATTTACAAGGATTCAGTGAGCTAATGAATGGAAAACATTTAAAGTGGACTTTGATAAATGGTAAACTCAGTGAATGGTAACTGCTATAAATATTCATGAAAACTCAGCTTGCCAATAATTTCTCCTTGTTTCTTGTAATTCCAAATTGTGGTGGTCATACTGTGTTCTTTTACAAAATTGTATCTGTTGATGAGAAATCCTTCAGTTCTTACAAACATTTGCTCCCTGTTTAGTGAAGAAATGATCATATCCTTTCATCTTCACCTAGTGAAATGTGTTATCATGTGGTTAAAAAATATTTGACATTGAAGAGACAGGTGGGCCATGCTTGTACTTTATACATGGTCTTTGTGAGCGTACTTTCTCCAGGCTCTCATTTACCACGTATCCTCCTTTCTGTGGGGTTGATTTGTTGTTTCTGTTGCCTTGATTGTATGCTGCCGGGCAGTAATCATCTTTAAATGCTTCATTAGCTATGATGATAGCTTTTGCTTCGTTTAATAATGAACTCTGTCAAAAGACTATCGTACCATGGCTAATTGTACCATGTATTTTTCACTGATGCCCGTATAAAATTCCAGTGAATCCCTTAAGATTTTTCTAAAACGTATTATTATCTAAATGACCTGTTGAGGTTTCTACCATGCTTTACTCTTTGAAAAAGAAAAATAAGTCTCTCCCTCTCCCATTCCCTCTTCAGAATTTCTTAGCTACATGACAAGTTCAACTGATTGGAGTAATGGGAGGCCCTCAAATTATGCTAAATATCTGCTCTGTCCAACTTTACATTACATAAGCCAGGAAATTATGACCAGAATAGGAAGATATTTTAAAAATCTACTTTTCAGAATAAAGTCTCATATTTCTTTCTTTGATTTGTAGTGGTTGGAATTGGAAGGGGGACAAAAATGCTGACCAGTATGTTGTCCGGGTCCAAGGTAAGAATACTGAAATACTTCTGTTTTTCTTGAATGTTTTTCTTAATGACCGAGTGTTGGATTTTATTAGTGAAAAAATAAACCATACAAAGAGTGTGAGTGGGTGTCAATCCTGAGTATTCATCACAATGTCTATAATCATATCTGAGAATTAAAATATTGAGACTATAAATTGGAAATTCAAGATTGAAAAACAAGTTTGACTTACAAAAGCAAAACCTCTGCAGTGCCCATAATTTTTAAAAATTATATCTAGTTTCTTTACATAATTATATTTCTTAGATGAAAGGGAACTTATAGATCATAAATTCTATTGGCAGATTTTTATTAAACCTTGGAATTTTTTTAGAAACAATACCATTTTGTAAACCGTCCACTTTTCAGCAAATCACATGCTTTCAATGGTTGCAAATGTTTGCTAAAGAAAAGAATTGGGCTTCTTTAAGATGATAAGTTCATCTGTTAGAGCGACCTTGACTTTTAGAGGGTCTTGAAAGGAGAGAGAGGAGGGGTCATGCAGAAGCAGGGGAGGCCTGCAAGCTGTGGGTGGATTGCGTGAGGCCTTCCGTGAGGAACCCTCAGGACATACAGCGTGGTGAAGGAGCAGTGAAACGAGATGTCAGAGTGGTTAACCTTTCTGGGCCTCTCAGTTTTTCCTTAGGAAAAATGATTTAATATAATAGTTGAGGCTGGGGACCAGTGAAAACACCCATGGGAGGAAAATTAATATGCCATTAGGTAGAGAAGAATTTCAGCAAGTTCCAACTACACTTCTTGTTTTAAAACCCTTGCTCTGAATGGGATATATATAGTTGGTAAAGTGATTTTTATCTAAATTGTTTCTTTTTTAAAAAAGGTGGTAAAAGACCGTTAAAATTTTTTTTCTTCAGTTAATTGTAGACTGATTGATGACTTTTGTAAAATTAAAATGTTACGGCAATGTCAAATTGCTGAGTAAGTTTCTAAAACCCTTATTTTCTGAGATTATTCTGAGATTAATCTTGTCATGGATATTAGACCTTGGACCAAACTTTGAGTGGCAGTGGTCTCAGTAAGCTTTTTTTAAAATAAAAAGCCCTGGCGAGCATAATGCCTTTGACATTACATTTTAGTTTTCAGCTGGCATAAAACCTGTCTCCTTCCGCTGAAAGGGATCTTAATGCCTTATATAAATGCAAGAATTTCAGTGTGGCTTGCTTGGCAGTCTTCAGAATGTTGGTGTTGAAAAGTCAAAGAATAAGAAAATTGTGTTAGAATGCATGGGTTTGACTGTTTTACAGTAAATTTGTACGTGATGCTTAAATACTGGCACATAAAATTTAGAAATCTGTTTCTGATACATGTTTTTTGTCAGTTGCTTAATATTTTTTTGTTTCTTAACTCCAAAATATAAGCAATAGTAATTTTGATATAGGATAATGGATGATTTTTATTTTCTTTTTTGACATGATTTGGTATTTCCCAAAATCTTTACAATGAACAAGTTACTTTTATAATAACAAAAAATATATATTTTCATTAAGGAATTTGTTTGGGTTTTTCCCAGTTAAAATATTTTGAGTTCATTGGAATATTTATTATCCACCCTCAACCACAAAAATGCAAAACACACTATATGTTATTGAAAGGTTTTGCATGTAAATTCCAGGCATATTTCCAGAAATATGATGACTGGAAATGTAAATACATTGTTGGCTCTGACTTAAGCTTTATTTGTCACAAACCATTTTGGTGTTGAACTAGGAAAGCTGAATGTCAGGCAGTGAAATCACTAATCCCCAGTAACCTAAATAGAAAATCCCAGGTGCATCTCATTACAGAAACCTAGTGTTTGGGTAGTTTGCATTTCAAAAATAGGATTATTATCATTAGCAATTTGTATTTTTTTATACTTTTAGTTTTAGATTATGTATTTGTTGAAAAATTAAATTATTTAAATTTTACCTTTAATTTTGTTGAAGATTATATTTTTCTCAAAAGCAGTTAAAAACTGTTAGTGAATTTTTAAAAATTGATTTTGCTTATAGCGTTGGAAGGAATCTTAAAGATTCTCTTATTCAGTGGCTTTCAAAACTTTTTTGACCAAGACCCAGAGTAAGAAATTCATTTTACATAATGACCCTATATACACATACATGTATAAAAAATTTTTTTTATCAAACAACTTTAACTGGATATGAGGCTATTCCCTTATCTATGTGGAGACACACCATAGTAGGACCTGTAGGAAAAGCCAACATTTCCTTAGAAAGCAGCGTTTATCACCTCCAACAGCTGAGCAAGTGCTATTGTTGGGGTATACACACTTTTCCACCCTGGATGTGCTCAGGGACACTGATGTGCCCCAAATGCACAGTAGCATCTTTAGGGTAACCAGTTAACATCAGTTCTGATGCGTGACTTGAATAGCGCTCCTGTGAAACTTGGCCAACTCTAAGATTTGAGCATCTCTAATCCACCCTCTCCAGAGGTTAGTCTAAGCTGTACCTTTTCTTTATACTCCATCAATATTCACACATTTCATAAGCACTGTATTGAAAGTTTTGAAGGACTTATACTTAGGAACTGTACAAAACTACTCTTCTTTAATGAAGACATTCAAGCCACATGTTTTTGGTTTGGTAGTGTTTTTTTTAAGTGTTCTTTCTCATTCTAAATAATACCCCTTTGTTTGTGAAACTTTGAATCACAAGCTTTCAGAATCAAACTTCAGAAGAAGCAATGCCTAGTTGAGACGGAAATAATTATGTACACTTTCTGTAATACAAATGTTTTCCTTTCCTCTGAAGAGCGCAGAAGCCAATTTGCTTCTAAAGTTGTCTAGTGGGCTTCAGGGAGCTTGAGAATGAGAGAAGTAGAGAGTAGAGTAATATTAGTATCAGCAAGAAACCACGAATCCCAAAGAGCATACAGTTCAATGGAAACTTTAAAAATTCTATAGGATCTCCATTTGTTTTGTTGTAGTGGAATTATGTTGTACAGAATTCATTAATAGAATTCACAGTTTCCAGATATACATCATGGCGCATAAACAGCTCTAAAACCCTGTCTCTGTGTGGAATTTAGGCCAGTGAAAAATCCTTTAGACCCCATAAAGTAAAATGGTGGGACTGTGTATTTATATCCCCATACCTTTTTTCTTCTGTCCCATAACTTCTTGGTGGTCAAGCTTTGTTTCAGCTGCAGGCATAACTGTCTGGGTGGATTTTTCTAAGGAGTTTGTGCATTATTGAACAGAATTAGAAGATAATAATTGTCAGGTGCCAAGACAAGGGAAAGCTGGAAATCAGCTATAACTTAGATCGGTACTTCACAGAGTACGGTTCAAGGACTCCGGAGACTTTTTTAGGGGGGTCTTTGAAGTCAAAACTATTTTCATAGCTTTGCCTGTTTTACTTGCAATCTCATAAGGTACTCAGTGGAGTTTTCAGAGGTTACCTGATGAGCAGTGATGATGGCTCTTGATGGCTAAAGGAATGTGTGCATGTGTATTGGTGTTTTAACATTTTTCAGTTTTAATTTCTAATACAGTAAATATTGACAGAATCCATATGAAAAAAATTGGGCTAGGGTTTTTCAATAACTTTCAGTGTGGCCAGTGGTTTGAAACCACGGTCGGTGTTTGCGAACTGCTTTTTTAAGTATTATTTTCCCTCACAAGAATCCAATCTCTAGCCAGATTCAGCTTAACTGCAGAGCATAGAATGATTTGAAACTTGGCAGGTGCCATCGGGATGTCCAAACCCATGGGGAAATGTGAAGAATTGCACACATGGGAACTTCTCCAGCATGTAGATGGAACTTTCCATCGAGTAAGAAACATAGTAGAACAGCAATGCAAAATCCAAGATAACGGGGTTTATAATTTGGGAAGATAAAGATCAATATATAAAATGTCCTTGGAAAATAATGAACATCTGTAGGTAATCATGTGCCAAGCAATGTGACATGAGAGTTCAGTAAGATAAACTACTAGATACTGACATTGTCATCTGTTGTCACCATCATACTGTTCCCCTCTGCAGGTTACCTTTATTGGTTTGTTATCCTGTCACACTGTCACCTCCCAGAGGTGGGGACTCTTTAGAATATATCTTTGTATCTCTCAAAAGTACAGGGAAAATATTTTGTATATTTATAGCCCTTAAGAAACATGATTGAATGAACATACTAGTAAATGAATGAATATATGATGTGGGTTTGATATAGGCCTTCATTCTTTTTTGTAAGAAACTTGTATTGAGCCCCTACTCTTAACTAGGCTGCAGGGTTGGGTGATTGGGGGTTGGGATGGATTAACAGGGCACCTGTGAAAGGTTGGAGCCTTAGAGAAGAGAGGGTGCTCCAGGCCAGGGAAGTACCATGTGCCAAGCCATAGGACACCCACATTCCAGAGAATAAGGAGCATTGCATCCTTGGAAAGGTTCCTGGTTAAAACTAGTCACACGGCAGAACAGCACAACTATGAAGCTACTTCCTGATCGCATCGTGTTTCTCTTATGCAACTAGACAGGTTATTAAGACGAAAATCAGGGAGAGCATTGTGTTTCTCTACTGTTCCTTATGGGAACTCACTGTAACCAGATGAGTCACTCTAACCACTGTTACTGTGAATCACTTTTCTTTTTTTTTTTTTTTTTAATATAGTAACAATAATAGTATTGTTTTTTATTGTCTGCCAGGGCCAGGGACTCTTGTTCTAAGGTCTGCTTCTTTTCAGGAGGTACTTTATTCTCCCCATTTTAAGGAAAAGGAAAGGAGTTTCCAACAGCAAAGACTAACTTACCCTGCTTTACCGGTTGTGGTGGAGTGAGGATTCAGACCTTCGAGTCTGCTCTTCCACTCACCCTTCTGTGCTGTTCCCTGGTATGTTTTGTCAAGGCCAATTGTTCCAGAATAGAGAAGCAGAAGTGAGCCATTTCAGCTGATGAGGCTGAAGGTTTAGTTACAAGAAACTCATTTTTGTCAATATTAATAAAAAATTTAAAAAGTTAATTCATATGCATTGGGACATTCCCTCTATGTTGTATTTGTAAAAAAAATAAAAAATAAAAAAAATCCAAACTATATAATAAAGGGGCACTGAGGCTGATATAAACTATCTGCTTGCTTATGAGGATTTGAAATTTTAATATTTTTTTCATTTTTGTCTCTGGTCCCTTTACTGGCATAATAAGCTTGTCATTAATCAACTATATTTGAGCTTCCTCTTAAGAATTGCTCACATAGCCCTGGCTGATGTGGCTCAGTTGGTGGGAGAGTTGTCCCGTACACTGAAAAGCTGCAGGTTTGATCCCCTATTGGGGCACATACAGGAGGCAATCAATTGATATTTCTCTCTCTGTTGCTCTCCTTCCCTCCCCCCACTGCCCCTCTCTCCCTCTCCCTAAAATCAGTATACATGTCCTTGAGTGAGGATTAAAAGAAATTGCTCACATAACTACAGATTTTGTTTAGTGGGAGTTACATTCCTTGTATTTTTCTCACTGTTTCATGTGATGCTGCAATTAAAATTTGAGTGTGACCAATTGAGAATAAAGAATATGTAGTAGAATCGAGCAGTGAAACAGTCCTCAGTTAACTACAAGTGATCTAATTCTTCACTTGTGAATGATGTCAGTTCTTAGAAGTGACCTTTTCCCCTTCAGAGAGCTACATAATTAGCTTTTCTTTAAATGTGTAATCAGGTTACAAAGATTCGTCTCAGTATTTCATATAAGAAGTAGTAAATTGATTTACTTTAACTTTAATTGCATGTGTGGTAAAATTGTTGAACCTTGTGATGGCCATGTAGGGGTTTGTTGTACCATTCTCATAAGTATATATGAAAATTTTCTTTCAAGATAAAAACTGGTTTTAGAAATCTGTTTGCAGTAACAGTGTGTTTCTAAGCCATAGGTATTGATAAAAGTGGGTTTTTCTTTGTCATGTTGGCTGGTGTGGGAAGTTTGTGAATGCTCTCCAACTTGTACACGTACTTTCCACATATCAGAAACTAGCAAGACACTTGCACTCTATTATTTTTGCCTTTATTTTGTATCAAGTTGGTAGTATTAGTAAAATTCTGTACGACTTTCAGGACATGCATTGCAGTTTTTCTTTACCTTATGGACTGTGTTTCTCCATTTCTCTTCCTCTAGAGGTATATTGCCATTGGAGAGCTGGGGAAAGCTACCGACACACTGGATTCTACAGGGAAAGTAACAGAAGAAAAACCTTACGGTATGATGTTCATCTAAAGTACTCTGTTTTCATGTTAGAAAAAGTTCCTGTGAATTCAGAATTCTCTAACCTGATACTACTAGTGATTTTTGTTTTCAGTAAATTTTTTTTTTTTAAGTTCGTAAGATTGGAGGTGGTTTACCACATTGTTTATTTGGTATGAGTTTGCTAATAAGGATTTATTATAATTGCCTCTTTTTCTGTAGTCACGTTTTATAATGTTCAGAATTCTTCCAAATAATTTTCTGTCTGAAAAACATTTGTTGCTGGGATTTAGGACCTTTTTCCTAGTAAGGGAGAAACAAAGCAGAGAGACTCTCATGTTAGATTTTACCTGTGTCTTGCAATCACTTGTTTATTTGTCCATTTATTTTACAGTTACTTCTTAGCTGTGAGGTAAATGTATCATGTTTAGTGCTTTAAAACTAATTATGTCCCTTTGCTTTTGGAGTATGTAAAAAGATATGGAAAAGGTAAAACAGAACTCACTGAGGCCCACCTTAATTTTTCTTCTATTCCTTTTTTTTACTACTTTAAGAAGGGATAGATAAATGAACTGGTTTCCTAGCAACTCTCCCAGTGCCTGTGCTATTTATACTGCAGCAGTTTTGTACAGTCAGTGCACCTACATTATTATGTCATCAATTGCGAATTATATGGAGGCTTTCTGTTTTATTTTGTGGGGTTTTTCTGCTGTGTTTAATGTTATCACTTCTTAGTTTAGCTACAGGCAGTCCAGCCTCTGGCTTCCCTGTGTTCTGTGTTGAGTGTCCTCACTGTGTATTTCATATTGCCTTGGTACTGGGACCAACCTTATCCTCACTCACAGTGGCTTCACTTGACCTGTTATTACTTATTCATATGTAGTTTAGTATCTTACTTGATTTCTCAAACAACATAATCTTTTGGTAGAAACGTGACTCATTTCTCTTAGATATAGTATTTCCAAGTGTAATTGCCGGGTTATAGCAGAAGTATATGTTTTACTATACTAGAAATTAGCAGCTTTTAAAGTGATTGTATAATTTTTTTTCTCTTTTGCATTTCCACCAGCAATAAATTAGTGTTCCACTTGTTTCCCATCGTTGGCCGTTCTGGTAAATGCATAGTGTTATTTCATTGTGGTTTTGATTTGATTGCTAATGAAATTCAGCACTTTATGACTTTTTTTGGCTCCCTAGCCATCTTTTGTGCATTGTCCAGGTCTCTTCCCATTTTTTTTGTTTTTGTTTTTCTTTCTTTCCCTATTGAATTGCCTTTCCCCACCTCTAAAAATAATGATTTGTATAAGGTCTTTATATACTCTGGATATGTGCCTTTCTTTTGGTTACACGTGTTGATATTTTCTCCCACTCTGGGGCTTATTTTTTACCTATCTTAATTGTATCTTTTGGAAAACAGAAGTTCTCAGTTTTAATTTAGTCTAAATTATCAAGTCCTTGGTCACAGGTGAAGCACCATATAGGCATGGGTTTGTTTGGAATCAGTATTGTTTCATTGGTCTGTTTGTCTACCTTTGTGCTAATCCCAAATTGTTTTAATTGCTGTTGTTTTAGAGTAAGTCTTGATATCTCAAAGAGCAGGTCTTCCTACCTTATTTCTGTAGGTTTTTTCTGTAGGTTTTATCAAAGTAAGGGTGTAGCCTACTATACCTGATTTGCTGCTGCTGTTTTTAAATCATGAACAGATAATGAATTCTATCAAATATTTATGCCATATCGATTTTTCTCCTTGTTCAAATATTAAACTTTACATTTCTGGACTACACGTAAATTGATTATGATATGTTATCCTATATATAAATTGTTGGATCTAGTTTGCTAATATTTAGTTTAGGAGTTTTGCATATTTGCCTGTGATATTACAATGTATTTTTTCTTTCTCTTAATGTTCTTGACTGATTTTAATATCAAGGTTACACTGACCTTATAAAGTGGGTTGGGGAATATTCTCTTCTTTTTTCTATTCTGTGGAAGAATTTGTGTCAAATCAGCATTATTTCTTTTTCTAATGTTTAGTAGAATTTACCAGTAGACATTCAGGGTTTTCTTTGTTAGGAAGGTTTTTAATCATTAGATTTCTTTACTATAGAACTTAATGTTTTTTTATATCGTGTCATTCTAGATAATTTTTCCACTAGGAATTTGTTCATTTTTATCTCATTTTTTAAATTTACTGGTATAAAGTTGTTTATAATACTTTTTCATGACTTTTTATTTTGGAATAATATCAAACTTAGAGAAAAGTTGCAAAACCAGAGCCATATTTTTGTAGTTTGTAGTATACAGCTCTTTCACTTCTTTTGATACTTATAATAGCATTATTTTGATGCCATTATAATTGGATTTAAAATTTTAAAATTTCTGGTAGTTTATTGCTAGAATATAGAAATGGAGTTGATTTTTGTATATTGATCTTTCGTCTTTCAACCTTGCTAAACTCACTCATTAATTCTAGTCGCTTTTGTGGAGATTTCTTGGTGGGGCAGGTGTACAGTAGACGGTTTTCAGGCCTAGATTAGCCCTACTCCTGAGACGGCTTTCCTGGGGTCTCCGTTGAATGCCTTGGGTTTTCATTAGAGTCACTTCATTCCGGACAGTTGGGATTTAAACATCTTTCAGCCTGTGGGAGCTGTGGTACCAGTTCTGTGGTTGATTTCATGGCAGCTCACTGTATATACGTGCAGCTTGGAATTTAGCCAAGTCTCAGCTGGAGCCCTGTGGACATCTGTGCAGTTCTCTCAAATTCCAGCTGCTGCTGCCCAAAGCCTGCTTCTGCTCCGTGGGTGAGACCACAGTGCTTTGTTTGGGGTCCCCCTCCCTGCACCACAGCTCAGAAAGCACCTCTACACAGGAGCAAGTGACGGTGGGCCTGGCCTTGTTTCCTCCCCTTCTCTCAGGCATCACAGCGCTTGCTGCCTGCAGTTTAATGTTGGGAAACAGTTGCTATTATGTCTTTTTCCAATTTAACAGCGGCTCATGGTGGTAGGACTTGTCCAGTAATGTTCCTCTATTATGGTTGAGTATTGTTTTCAACTCCATCATACTGTTTTTACTTCATAGTTCAGTTAAGCACCAACTATCATGCTGTAAGTTCACTAGAAGAGGTAACAAATTTTAAGCAAATAATAATGGGTAACTGATACTAAATTTTTATGAGAATGAGTTTTAAAAATTAATATCAAATGAATACTGTCACATTGATGATTTATTAATTTGCTAAACAAAGAATAGTTAGCCACACCCTACAGCACCCGTATCATACCCATCTCTTTTGCCAAATGTACTTCTTTGGGCTGTTTCTTAGATAGACTTGCTTTGGAGATTTTAGTCTCCATTTATTACTCTATGGAGGTCGAGTCTTTATTCTCATAGGGACAATTATTATTATTTGGATTGAGCTAATATTATGTTTTAGATATAACGAGCATGCTTACTCCATACTCACATAGTAGTGAATGTAATTTTTATTTATAGTATTTATTGTGTTTACTTTTATTGTAAAATAACTTTCTGCTCAGGCTTTCTGTCTGGTGATTCAAACATGAGATGAACTATTGGCCTAGGTCACTTTTAATGCGCTTTAGCCCTTGAGAGCTATTATTCTACAGCAAATTGAATTCAGCAGGACTATCTTGAGTGCCATTGCAGTTATGTACATTACACGAGAAGAAGGCTGTCTTTGCCTTTAAGGAGCTTAGAATTTCATTGCTGAGATAATACGTGTGTGTGTGCGCGCGTGCGTAACAGTTAAAAATTGTGTATGATTAATTGCAGAATGCACAGCACAACTCATAAGTGCCTGGGATGTTAAGTCTATGGGGCAGAAGTAGGAGGAGAGAGAGCACATCGTGTCCTCTTCTGTGGGGGATTATCAGTAAGAGAGCCATCGAAGGAGGTCACAGTCTCAGGAATGTCCGTAAAGAGACCAGCCCAGCAGTAGAAAGCTGCTTGGTCTCATTTTCAAATGTGTTGCTAAGTCATGAACTATTGCAATTTTATCAGCAATGGCATTTCTTTCAGCTATTGCCAGCATGGTGTCTAGATTTGGAAGTTTTGTAAAACTAAGGTGCCACCAGTAATTATGTTTTAATGTTGCAATAGAGTAAAATTTTCATGAAAAAAATCCTCACCCATATTACAAGCTACATCTGTTTGAAAAACAGGGTGAGCAGAATAGCCTTCTGAGTTCTGCCTTTTTGGAGCAGCTAGGTGTTGGAGAAATTCTTTTCAGTTATGTAGCTCCTCTGTGTTTGAGTCTATAGTAGATTCTGGTCTTTTGTTCCTTTTTAGCTTGTAAGGATCAAGGTGGCAGTGAGGTTAAGACTGCCTTGCTGTGTTGGTGTTGAAATTTGGACACAGTATTTCTCGCTGTCTTTTTATTCTGGTGGTAGAATAGTAATTCAAAGCACATTAATTATTTTTTGTTAATATTGTTCAAATAAAATAAAACATAACATGTATATATCAGGAAAAAGTTTAAATAAATTTCCTACAAAGTGACAAAGAAGCAAGCAGTGTAATTTCTTGCCATTACCTATGACCTAAGTTACAGAATATTTCTATAATTTAGTTTGTTATTGAATATGAAATATGTGTGGTCATCCGTAAGTATAAAAATCCCAAATAGTGACTTTCAGTGTGTGATAATTTTCAGTTGTAGAAATTATAGAACTGTACAATTGCATCGTTTTGGTTGAAAGTATCCAAGAAGCTGAAAATATGACTGATATACAGAAAGCTTTATTTATGTCTTCATTTAAATTTTCTGAAATCATTGTTTAAAAAATGCATAGCAATCTTGCTAAAATCCTTGCTATGTATATTCTCTTTTTGCTCTGGTTTATTTTTGAAGCAAAAGTCAGACTCCTGAATGGAGAGTGTTCATTTAAAAGAACAGACAGATTGCAAGAGCAGTGAAGGGAGGCAAGGAGACTGATAAATACAGCTTTGCTTGGGGACAGAATTGAATGTGAGTGTATGAAACTTATATCACACCATAAAACATTTTTGAAATCTCAGTAAAATTTAAAATGTTTAATACTTGATAATCTTCACTTCTGCATTGATATTTACATTTGATCCCTAGAGAAACTTGGAAAATATGGTTTTTTTCCTACTTTCTGATCACCTCATTTGTGATCACTGCAGGACCATTTCTGTAGCTAGTGCAACATTTTCCAAGGTCTTCTACAGGCCATAGTAAGAACTAACTAAATGCATTTAGATGATTGAATCATTTTTATTAGAAAAAAAATGGAAGCAAAGGAAATTTGGTCTTAATATTAGATATTATAAGTCTTCTCCCCCCTTTTATCTCATGAATGTATATTTTATTCATCTTAACAAGGTAGACTTTGGCTGATAAAACATGCACTATAGTGTATGCTTTTGTCAGAAAAAATTTGTAATGAATTTTTGGAGCTTTTGGTGCTGTGCAAAATAGCACATGTACTTCTGTGGTGGTTTTAGTGTCACTTATTTTGTTGTTCATTTTTGACAGATAAAATAACACAAGAAGATATTGAAGGCATTTTACAGAAATTTACTGGGAATATAATGCAGGTACCTCCCCTGTAAGTTCAATTTTTGAATTTGAGTAAATGTTTAATTTTATTTTCCAATGATTAACATCACTTTAATGCGGGGGAAGGGTGAGGCAGGTTTTAAATTTGACATAACAATGGTCAGGTGGAGATGATCCTGTTTTGGACAGGATGCAAAGCTTTTTTTTTTTTTAATATATTTTTATTGATTTCAGAGAGAGGAAAGGAGAGAGAGAGATAGAAACATCAATGATGAGAGAGTCATTGATGGGCTGCTCCTGCACGTCCCCAACTGGGGATTGAGCCCGCAACCCGGGCATGTGCCCTGACCGGGAATCGAACCACGATTGCTTGGATCCTAGGTCAGCGCTCACGCGCTGAGCTATGGCTGGCCGGGCAGGATGCAAAGCTTTTGACACTCTCTAAGAGGTGCTGGGTGATGAGGTCTCCTCTGTCCCTAAATATTGCCACGCCCTGATGTTGTTACTCTTTTGGTGTTGGCCCATTTTTCTGATTCCATCTGCAGACATCAGGGCAGTTTTGGAGCATAGAGATGTCACTTTCCCCAGAGCTGCTGTGAAGAGGCCGGTCAGTCTGGCTCCGGCGCCTGGGTTGCGATTCCGGGTCCAGTTGGTGCTCCCCTTCACACCCTGGGACCTTGCTTTTGGGCCCAGCGTCTTGCGCATCGCAGTGCTCTGCGCCGGATGAGACTCCTAACGATGAAAAGTGTCAGGGTAGGGACTGGACAACCAGGAAGACGCTTGAAGGTAGATGGACAGGACTGCTCGCTGGGGCCAGCCCGAGCCGGCTGTCTCAGAGACCTGGGAGCGCGACCCCTGGCAGCGGTACGGGCAGGCCAGAGGGCAGCAGGTTTCCAGTTCAAAGGGCGGCTGGCCACCCGTCGGGCTGTGGTCTGAGACACTGCCGCTCCTGTTTAATCCTTCCCCGCCTCCCTCCTCATCTTGTAAGCTACTCCGCTTTAAAGAGAGACGGCCAGAGGCTTTCCACCCTGATGAAGAAAGGTGAGGCGGTGGAAGCGAAGCCCGCCAGGCCCGTGACCGTGTACAGCCTCTCCCTGCAGAAATTCCAGCCGCCGTTTTTCACGTTAGGTAAGGGAGAAATTCGAAACCATTTGTTTCCATGTACCTTTATCTTTGTATTAGGCTACTTTTGAGTGATTTTAATGGGTCCCTAGGATATTGGGGAATTTTAAAATTCAAATTTAAGGAAGGGTTGGCTTTGTTAATACCTTTTGGATAACAGGTTTAATGAGAATACCTACAGCTGGAGGCTCGGAATGTCTAAGTAGGCTGAGTTTTTGATATATTTTACTATATTACCTTTCTGTAAAGTTGTAAGTAACATACGTGCCTTAGATCTCTGCGAGAAGGCTAGGTAAGGAGTATATATTTTCAAAATTTTACGTTTTATAACTTATCATTTTGTGGATACTTGTTTCCCCATTTTGGTTACTATCTGACAGTTTTCCTTCAGTTGTAAAAGTCATACTAATTTGTCCTCTTAAACAAAGCATTTTAGTTTTAGGGCAAGAAATCCAGGAGGGATGTCATCTTCCCACCTTTGTAACCTGCACATTATTGTGAAAGGTCATGAAAATGGGGAAATCATGCATGAGGCAGAAATGGATTCTTGAACACTTTAATTCAGGTTATCAATTTGAATTTATCTGATAAATTTAAAAACCAAAAAGTTTGTTCTGTTTGGAAATTTGATGATCTTGTTGCAGAGTCGTCGCTGATACCCCAAACGTGTGAGAGCTGTAGGTCTTCTGAATTCTTAGGCTTCCTTGGATTGGTCCTACTCTCAGTTTCATGGTCCATACTCAGTAGTGTTCCTTTAATTACCCAAAAGCTTCTTTCCTAAACTCCGTTGCTGAGCATATTATCTCATGTATAATACGTTATGGTAGAGTGTGGTTTTTGTACAATTTAAAAAAGAAGTCACTTTTTTTCTTTAGTTTCTGGATTCTAAAATGTTTGACAAATAATGAGAAAAACATACTAAAAGATGTTTTGTTCCATCCATGAAAGTACAGCAGCTGGCTTGGCACAGTAGATATTATCTGTGGGACTAACAAAAACTTGAATTTTTTCGATTGCGTTTAAGCTGTAAATACTTTATTTTATTCACTGGAGGTTGTGATAGGCCAGAGAGTTGTCTTTTCACCACAGTCACATATAGTGCAAGGGTGTTAGCACACCTACATTTTATCCTAGTGCTCATTTAAAAAAAATAAATTTTTATTGATTCCAGAAAAAAAAAGGGAAAGGGAGAGAGGTAGAAACATCAGTGATGAGAGAGAATCATCAGTTGGCTGTCTCCTGCACACCCTGGGCACGTGCCCTGACCGGGAATCAAACCGTGACCTCCTAGTTCGTGGGTCCACCCTCAACCACTGAGCACACCAGCCGGCCTACTGCTCATTTTGTATCTCAGCTCTGGCCCCCACCCTTAAGCTAATGGGGGGGGGGGATTAAAATCCCAGGTAGTAAATTTTGATTAATTCTCTTAAATGGCTTTATTCGTAGGATATGACTAGAAGCAGCTGGAATGTAGTCCTTTTGTGAGGAAAGTCAGCATGTCTTGTGGATGAATAGAGAGAGTCAAGAGCCCTGCTCTCAACCTATAAACTTGTGTTACACTAGGTTAAGGAGATGTTTAAATAGGCATTTAGTTTGGGGACATTGCGTAATTTTAGTTATTTTATGATTTCTTTAGGAATATCTCCAAGAAAACAATTACGTGTGCTGAGCTTTCCATCTGGGAGTATGTTATCCCAAGTCTGATTCCTGTCCCTGAAGAGGATTTTTGTTTGTTTGTTTGTTGTATTTGTTGAGTGTACAAATCTGAAAATATTTTAAAAATCTACAGCTCATGGTAGCAAAGCTGAGATGGCTAACCATTTCAAACCTATTAAATGAACAAGGTGCAGAAATATGAAAATATTTTTTTAAATTTTCAGCTTATGATCTCAGAGATAAGATTTCTATTTAAAACCTATTAAGTGAACAAGGCTGAGGTATTAAAGTGGTATGACTTGCCAGTTAATTTAAAATGTGTTCATGAGTTTCTGCTGTTTGCCTTCCCCACGCTCTGACTTTTCAATCTCACAAACACATACGCTGCTGGATGAATAATTTATGTTTTAGCACATAAATATTTTATCACCCGATTGTTTGCATAGCGCATTTTTACATTTGTTTAGAGGCATCATTTCTATGTAAAGTGGATTTCTTAGGTTAGCCATTTACCATGTCGCTGTTAACATTCCAGATGTTGAGTGTGGAGGAGGCTTTTATATCCGAAGCTTGGTCAGTGACATTGGCAAAGGTAAGCATACAGATGACTTATGAATTATCACTTAGAGAGTAATACTCCTTTTTTGATGAGAAGAGGGAATTTCCTATTTGTCATCTCTTTGAGTACTGGCCTCATGAACTGTACTCTGCTGCCTTCAGCTTCGGGAGCCGTAGAGGTTTATGGCGTACAGTTATCAGCCTCAGCAGCTGCGGCGAGACACTTGTAATGGGAAGAAAGAGGGAGGGGAACAGAAAATGCAGACGGGAATAGTGAATGGAAGGGCCAACATTTTTTCAAGTACAAAATATTTGAACCCAAAGCAGGGGTAAGAAAAAAAGATTTATTCTTCGTCCTTCCAAAAGATATTGTCATTGGTACAAGTCACATTTTTTAAAAACTGGAAGCCATCATCTTACAAAGAGCCAGAAGTTGCAGTTTTGGCTCCAGTATTTGCTGGCAGTTGTGATGCTGGGGAGCCCAGATGACCTCATCTGCGAGTGAGAGTAATAGTCACCTCATGGGGTCGCTTCATGAGTTAAATGAGAAAAGTGTGTAAGTTCCTTGTAGACTAAAGCAGTTTATAAGGTGAGTTACTAAATAATATTTTGCTATTTGATCGTTGCTTAAGCTCAGTGCTCTTGGTTCTTACCTTGGCTTATTGCATTTCCCTTTGGAGTGATCCTGAGCGCTCTCACTTGACACTGTAGACTGTGCTGTGCTGTCACTGATCTGGTGGATTTCCTTCTCACCCTTTGTTGCTGTAGAGCTCTCTTCCTGTGCCAATGTACTAGAACTGACCCGAACCAAACAGGGGCCTTTTACGCTGGAAGAGCACGCCCTTCCTGAAGACAAATGGACCATTGATGACATTGCACAATCTCTGGAGCATTGCTCATCCCTTCTCCCAGCAGGGTTGGCACTTAAAAAACCAAAGCCCGAGGGGCCTCATGAACACGCTTTGAGCTGCGAATATATGACTCTAAATGAGACGACGGGAGAAGGTGATGTGATTAAGACATGTTAAGACTGGCGTGGGTCGTCATTTCGTGGTTGACATTTGAATCCTGTGTACACGGTGACAAGCTATGTGCAAAGGACAAACACGACTCTTCCTTTTTCTTTTCTTTTTTTGGCATGAAGAAAGATGTCCAACGTTTACAGTTCCTGTAGTGTACAGTTTATCTACTATCCATTAAAAGTAGCCTTGCAGTTGTTCAGTTCTTGGCTGTACCATGGAATGTTCTTCTAGGATATTATTATGCTGTTAGACTGGATTCAGGAAAATCAACTTTCTGATTTTGATCTTGCTTCAAAGTCTTTTCCCGTGAAAAAGCTGAGCACACTTTCTAATCAAAGGAAAAAGACATGTGAGCTACATGTTTCTTTGGTGTCACAAAAGTTAGTGAATTAATGTTACTTTGACTTTATTTTGGCGCTCTGGTGGCTCTATTGTATTGAAATTCTTCAACTGTGTTTGAAAAGACCGTTATTTAACTCCTTTTTTATGTTTTGGAGAGTTTGCGATTACTAGCATTTCTTTGATAAGGCTGTATTTATTTGGTAATAGCTGTGTTTGTTTAGATCTCAGACACTACTGAACTTTTATAATAAATATTTGTAATTAAACCAAATTATTGCTGCTACCACTAAAGGGATGTAAATACAAGACTGAATGTTTAACTTCACCTCTCTTCTACCGTTAGTGCAAAGGACAGCCCAATGGCTTATATTTTGGCAGCTATGAGATCTTTTCCTGATATTTTGAACACAGTTGACCACTCTGTACCACATTACTAAATAACAGTTTTTAAAAAGTAAGCTAAAGAATGTATCTTCAATTAAAAATTTCTTTATTCTTTAGTATTTTATACCTTTTTAAGGACATTGTTTTTTTAGTTTGCTTGATAGCCCCCCTGCATTTCCAGGTCATCTCTTCTGCTCTGAGTATATAAATAGTTGTTCTCAAACATTTTCATTCAAATAGCCTACTGAAAGTTTTCTCTCCCTTGTTAAGGTAATTTTGAAAGCATAGTCCCATTACAAACTAGCAGATTTCCTATGTAATGAGTGTTTCATATTTTTGTTACGGGAAAGCAACATATTATGCAACCAGTCTGTAGAAATGGTTCAGTCCTTCTTCATTTATTCAGTAAACATGGTTCCAAAAGGAAAAATTATTAAAGTTTTCATAACATAAGAGTTTATTTTTATTTTTATGGATTGCATTTCTTTTAAGGTGGTTGCCTACTTGCAACCCCTAACTTGAAAAATTTCTACATGAACTATCATGAATTTATTTATGGTTAACCTATTAGAAACTCAATATAAAATGTTATGTGCTTCTGTAGAGCATTTTCGTCACATTGGCAACATATGTTCAATGAAAATATAAAAAGTAATTCTTAGTATGACACAGAATTACCACTTTACTCATCCAGATCCAGTGCCTGTAGGTTGTCAGCCAGAAGCGGCGGCGGCTGCCTGTCTGCCGGGATGGCGCAGGCTAGGGTACGTGTCCGCACCCTGCCAGCCAAGGTCCCGGTAGAGGAACACGCCTGGGGCACTTCTGCTCTGCGTCTCAACTTAAAAACTGACGTGTAATTTACTAACGGAGAAGACTTCGGATTATTTGAATAGACAAGTGACTTTAAATTAACCAGTCTTTTTCTTTTATATTGAAAATGTTGAAGAACATTTTGCCAAATGGAAAAACTACCCACGATCCTCACCATCACATCCCAGAGCAGTGACTTCAGAACTTTAGTTTTGTGTTAATATCTCCCCTTTTGTTCACATCATTACAATCTTACAACACCCGTCCTTTTTAACGGGCTGTTTTTTCATTTCATGTTATCTGACGCAGTGAGAGTTATCATTGTTACTTTAATCATGTTCATTATTTAGTTTATTTAAGTTATTTCCATATTACTGAACGCCTAAGTTATTTTCAGTTATATTAGGATAAATTCCTGGGAGTGGGATTTTTAAGCGGAATAATACGATCAGTTTTATGGTTCTTAATATGTTTGCCTTATTGCTTTCCCAAAGAGATGTAACATTTTAGTGTTGCCATTTCAGTATTATCAGTTCACTGAAAGTTTACAGCTTTGGGTGGGGGTTTAATAACTTGTTGCTAATTTAATAAGTATAAGAGAGACTTTTAAATTGGTCTAATTTGCTTTTGTGTGACTTTTCCCTGTACTTTGTTCATTTATATGAATAAATGTCTTATGGGTTCTTTATACATTTGTGTGAGTTTTTTATTTAGGAAATACTTGGTAGAATTATTTTCAAGGCATGTTTTTTTAAATTTGTTTCATTTTTTATTTTTGCTAACTAAAATGGCTAATTTTAATGATTCTTCACCTTTTATAGTTTATGAGTATGAATAAAGTTTGTTTAAACTTTAAAATAGTATTCATAGCTCTCATAAGCAGCTGAAGGTAATCGAGATGCTCTTAAAATTTTAAGACTCATCCAAAAACAAATTAGTTTTCTCCCAAGAGTCTACTATTTAAGTACAACCCTTTCTTTCTTTTTTCTATTTTAATCAAAGTGTTATAGAAATACCTGTTCCTTATGTATTTCTAGGCCTAGAAACTAGAAAGTGACTTCCTTTGTGTTTGGGGCTCCCAGAATTTCTAAACTATCATTCCTGGCCTCTGAGATAGTTGTTTTCATCTTACCTGCTTTTCTGATGACTGCCTCTTCCTTCCGTACTGTCCAGAAATGAAGCAATTCATATTTCCTCTGAGTTTATTTTTCCTCGCAACCTCAGCTCTCTGATGGGCTCGAGACGTTCTCCAGCTTTTTCTCGCAGTTAGGGCGATACTGACATTCTCTTGAAGCTTTCATCCTAAGTGGAAGCATAAACTTAAATAATGCTTTAATATTTTCCCCAGCATTTATAGTTGTGAGGGTTTTGAGATTGTTTTGTCTACTGTTTTTGCTAGAAATGGAACTCTTTATATCCAGAGAATAGTTAAACTGAGTTGCAACACCATAACATTATAGCTAATTTCGTATCCATAGAAAATAATCTGTTGATCCATTGACTAGTGGCAAAGCATTTAATAAACTAGCATTCCTATATTCAAGGTACTTTGACATTATTTTACTTTTAATTCTTCCATTATAGGTGAGAAAATTAGGGCATAGAAAAGTAACTTCCCAACTCCAAATTAATGCATTAGTAAGGGCAGGACTTAGAGGCCAGATATCTTAAGTCATTAATAATCTTTTGGCTCACACAATTGACTGTATGACCTAAAGGCGATGACTAGGTGATTTTATTCCACATAATTTAAATGTGTCAAAGATTCATGAGTGCCTTTGGGTGGGGAAACAACGCATAACAGGCAAAAGAAGTCTCGAAGACACAGTCCAGCCTTTAAGCAGCTTTCACATACTTTTGATGGGAACTCAAGAAATGTACCTATAAAACCGTTAAGTAGTGGTACAAGACAATACCTGAGTATCAGCGAGGGGTATTGCCAAAAATGCTAGTGATATTTAATGGAGCAATAATTAATTTCTGCCAAGTTCTGTTGAGCTCCTGAGAACAGAGGAGGGAAAACAGTGATCAGGATGGCTGCACGGAGGAGGCGGCAATGCTCAAAGACTGAAGAGGGGAGAGAAGCTCCGGCAAAGATGGCAGTGCACAGGCACATTCAGGGAAGCGGAGGGCGCTCGGAGGGAGAGAACACCCGTGCCAGGGTGTGGTCGCAGAGGCGGCGTGCGTTGCATCGTGTGGACCCTTGAAAGCCAGAATTAAGTGTCACTCCGAAGCTCTGCTTTTAGGAGATTAATCTGGCAGTCGTGTGGCAAGCACTGAAGAGGCAGAAATACAGGGCAGGGAGCCCAGTTAGGACTGAGTCTGGGGCAGTAATCTGAGATTGAGGTCATAAAAAAATTCCAATCTAGAGTATTATCACATCTTGATGTTTGAATGGACTGTTTAAAGGAAAATAGATGGTATTTAGTGATTTATTAGATAGTTGAGGGCCAGGGAATTGGAGGAAAAATGATTAGATATAGGCATCAAATAGTTTTTCTTAAAGGAAGTATATCTGAATTTAGGAATAACGGTCGCATTTTGTTGACCGTGGGGCAGTTGGTGTGGTTGCCTGTGATAACAATGACCGTGATGCGCTTTCGAGTGCTGCTTCTGCAGCCTGAGTTCCTCCATGACCAAACCGGGAGCCTCTGAGAAAGAACTGTGCTTTTCCCATCTCTGCAAAGAGTCTGGTATAGCGTGGGTTTGTTGAATTTAATCTATAGTTAGGAGTTCCCAATTACTATTTGAAATGATAAATCATTCCTGGGGATGAGAGCATGGGCACTGGAGTTGTAGATTTCCCAAGTTCTGCTTATCAGCTATTAACCTTAGGCAAGTCAGTTAACTTCCCTAACTCCCCCGTTTCCTCTTTTGTGAAGTGGGGATATTAATAGTGTCTACTTTATAAAATTATAAAGTCTAAATTAGGTCATTTAGGTAAAGTATGTAGCATGATTCTTAGAACTTAGCCAATAGAAACAGAAGCAAATGCCACATTCCTGATCTACATGTAAGAGAAGAGTGAATCTGAAATTCTCATGGTTTATGGATTCAAAGTATACATTTTTAAAGTGCTTTATAAGAAATTATTTTGGGAGGAAGAAATAAGCTGAAACAAAGCGTTTCCTGACAGCAAAGATAATTAAACGGTGCCACAAGCTATTGACAGAAATGGAAATAAATCTTTAGGGAATGTAGATGTTCACCTTTTGTATATTAAGTGTACTCAAGTATGCTGAGTAGACACACACACACACACACACACACGCAGCATTAAAGTTAGTAAGCCCCTTTCATTTCCATCATCTCACTTGACTAGCCAGCAATCCTGCGAAGTAGGAAGGATCAGCCTGCATCTTATTTCGGTGAAGACCTTCAGGTGACCTTGAGTACTAGGTGACTTCCCAAGAGTCACATAGCCAGAGTGGCAGAGCTGGGCCTCTGATTCCAAAGGGCTGCTTCTATCACATCTGGAGAAAAGCGATCTGAAGCACAGATGTTTAGCGACAGGAACGAAACACATGCCGTGATGCCAAAAAATAACTGGAAAGAAAAGCAGAAAACAAGACGTTTGTTTCCGTTATAATATGACAGAAAAGAAGGCTCTTGTGCTTTGGGATTGAGCATTCAGAGGAGCAATGGGGGGACCACTCGGGACGCTGCATCTGCTCCCAGCTACTCATGACTGCGCTTATGGAAACCAGCTGGACTGTGTTCAAAGAAAAGCTCCAAAGTGATTAAGGGGCTGATGGCATTGATTAATAAGGAAAGCTTGACAGAATTAAATACGCATAGCTCAGCCAAGCAAAGGCCGGGGAAAACCAAGGTGAAGGTATACAAATATCTGAGCTGTGTCAATGTTTAAAAAGGAGATTAGTTATTTAGCCTGATACGTGGGGGTATAATATATACTGATAGGTTATCTGTGGCATGGCCTTTCCCTAGAGAAGCTGTAGGCATCTCAAGTCTCAGGAATTCTAAAACTTCCAGGGAACTAGGATTCAGATGATGCTGGAGAATTATTATTAATTTGGTCAGGTGTATGTTTGAAAACTTTTATCAGAAACAATTTAGATTATATTTTCCTGAACAAAGCTCAGTAGTGTATTAATTCCTGGCCTCCCTGAAGAGAGAACAGTGTTATTGCCACACACCAGACTTCTGGTTGGCCAGGGCCTGTGATGGTAGCTCCGGAGACAAGCCATCTTGCTTAGGCGATGTAGATTGGCCCGGGCTGAAGGACTCTTTCTAAAACTGTAGGTAAAAATCTAATGAAATTCTTAGAACCATAGGCCTCTCGTGGTAGCTCCAGGAAGCAGAATTTCTAAGGTAAAATCAGAGAGCAGGGTTGTTGAACCATTAACAACTGGCTTCTCCCGCTCTCCTGCCCCTTGGTCATGGAAAATACTGGCCACTGAGCAGAGGCCTAGGTGCCTTTGGAATGGCCAAGTCCTGTTCTCTTGAATGAAGACACGCTTTCCCCCATTTGTTGAGTTTGAAAAGCCAGAAGAGGTGTTAATTTACAAAGGAAAGTGAAAGATTTCAAATCCTAGCAAACATCAATGAAGCTCAAGTTTTTAAAAGAATCAGATTTTTTGAGAAAATAATAAGATTTTTTAAAACCACTTTCTCTCCTGTACCTTCTCTTCTTGCAGGTGGATGTTTAGGGCAGGAGATTTAGGGAGCATTTGGAATGGATGCCCTAACTGCTTTTTTCTGTTTATTAGAGGAATATGAATATTTAATCTGAATGTCACTGATGGCAATCAAGTGTGAACACAGACCCAGTGTTTCGGACCTGCCACATCTGAATTTCTCCAGAGTGCACAACTAGGCCAAAGACTGGCAAGTGAGAGGCCGCTTCCAGCTCCGGTAAGGATGGAGCTGTCTGCAGACGCAGCACAGGCCGAGTGGTGGATAAGCTTGGCTGCGTCTACCTCATGACCAGGCAGCCTGTCTCCAGCCCAGGTCTCTACTTAGCTCAGGCCCTTACCGTCTCTTACGTGGCTTATTGCAGGAGCCGAAACTAGGCTTCCACCTCCGCTCTCTTCCCGATGTCATCACCCTCCACCTTGACGCCAGAGTGGCTCTTCTGCAGCCCAGCTCATTGTGACAGTCCTCTGTTTAAACTCAGCGTCTACATACTCTAGGGTGATGGGGATCCTATTTTTGACCCTACGACTGGTGCTTCACAACTTGCCCAAAACAGAGATATTCTCATGAAGGCTTGACTGAATACGGGCAGTGTCTGTGCCTTTGTACTTAACCTTTGCTCAGAGGGTGGCTTTTCTCCCTTGTCCACCCAGCAGTTTGTCGAGACTTAAAGTCCATAGTAATGACGTCTTTTTTGGTGGGCCAGTCAGAATTAACCTGCCCTCCTCTCAGTGGCATGCGCCTCCCCCCCCACATCCATGGCCATACTTGGCACCCCCTCTTAATCATACGTTTACTTGTCTTCCCCACCGGACCGGGGGCCCTCTGAGAGCAAACACTATGTTTTCATCTTTATTTCCCCAGTGCCCGGCTGGAGTCCTGATGTTCCAAGTATGGGTAGATGGTGGGCACTCAGCAAGTTCGAGTGAAGAAAGACACCGCGCATTCTGCACGTAGTTACGGACTGTTTAAAGCAGATGGCCCAGCTGCTTCCCTGTCCGTAGCCCAAGGAGAGCATAGGACGCAGAACCAGA